AACTGAGTGTGAGGTAGATATGGCATTGATTGATTAGCTGTACGTTAGATGATCGACTCGTTCCTTCGAGTAATTGAATTGTTATTTTGACCAGAAATAAGAACCGATATATATGAAGTAATCAGGTCGTCCATCTTATAACCCTGAAATTAATCATTCGTATTTTTTCACGAATTTTTGTCCCAAGGTCAAGTGTAGCCTTACCATAGTAGTGTCGAGGAGTAGCTTCTTCCCCTCATTGCCCCTTATTCCATTTCCAACTGTCATGTTGAAGTAGGTGTTGCCACTTGTCCAGTTGCAAATGACATTGAATGGATACTAAAATGAAACTGGTAAGACAATCACGAAAGGGGCTGGGACTGTGTATAGTTAGCGGGAACGCTAAGACAGCCTTCAGACTTCGCACTACGCGCGTCTACGCGCTGGCGCAGCGATCTATCGGCGCTGACCACTACTGTTTTGTGCAGCAGAACCGCTCTGCAACCCATCTATCGGGGATGGCGCTGACCACTACTGTTTTGTGAGAGCATAGGAGAGTAGCAGATTGGGTACTGACTCTGCTTGTGTACTTCTCCTGTAGTCGGTGCACGCCGTGCGTTGGGATCTCTATCGAGGGAATCACATTTGGTCAGTGGAGGAAGGGACGGGGGTGTCGTATGCCTTGAAAAAGTTTTTGGTTGTTGGTTTTTTCCCAGTTTGACGCGCGCTACATAGTGCTGCATGCCCTTCACTCCTCTCCTCCCGTGCTCGACGGCAGTTTTTTTTAGGGAAGAAACTGGAAAATTACCGCTGAAAAACTTTGTAAAAGTGGCAGGAAGCGGGAAAGTTTATGAGGATGGAACGTGGTCGGTAGGATCGGCGATAGAGAAAGGGGATCATAACAGAGTTGGAAACTTCGAGGGGAGGGTCATATTTTGCGCAAGTTTTCTTCGACGGCAGAGCGTGCCTACTATTCAACACACTAGCTTACAGTCTGGTACGCTCCTATTCTCCTATATCCTCCCGAAACACCACCAGCCGGCGTCGATCATTACCCGTCTATGGTTGCCTTCCTGTCTATGACATTGGTGCGCTACTGCAACGTTAGCGTAGCGCGACGACGTGCGTCATCGCGAAGTCTGAACGCTGTCGAACAGCTTCCACGGTTCTGAATCAGATCGGTTTCGGATCGAGTGCCGGCTGAGCAAGCATTCCGCTGGTTTAGCGGTACAAGTCGTGCCGCTCGATTACAGGCAGTACAAGTCGTGCCTGGGGAAAAATGTCCCCCGCCCGAAAGGTCCAGAAGGCAAACGAGTAGTGTCAAATTTGGAACTTGAGACGTTCCAACAAAGCGTACCCTAATTTTCTGACCCGTAGCAGTTGATGCAGGCCCTTCGAAATATAGGAAATTTTTGGTTTACGTCCTAGTGGGCAAGCTAGCAAATTCTAATTATGCGCGGAACATGGCTTCAGCATGAGGCTTTCCGTGGGTTTTTTCACTGGATTCTGGTGAGAACCCAGGCCGGGTTTCGCTGGGAGCACCTATCTGGCCTATGAATCACCAACTCACTGACGAATGCACCTTTGAGAGCTAAATAGTAATGCTACATACCTGAGTGATTAACGTTTTCGTTTCGCTGTTGTAAAGATGCACTCCTCCCTTTCTGATTGATGGCTATTAACAATTTGTCAGGAGATTATAGGTCGGAATACTGGGAGACCTGTAGAACTCCTTGAAGTGAAAAGAAATCAGAGAGTACCGAAAAAGAACACCGTCAACAACACTTGATGGTCTCTTGGCCTCAAAAAAGTAGCTGAGGGCAAATCCTGCGGCCGTGTTCAAGTTCGCTGTTTCACAGCTGTGCTATGGAAATGTATCAGCTGGAGTTTAAAGAATAGTATAGCAGTCATTCCTCAGTCCGTCTTAAAAAAGGAGTGGCACGAATGTGGTTAGCTCGCGTTTTAAGCGGTAGCAGGGTTCATAATAGTGGGTGGATAAATGGGAAAAAAGAAGTGAAGCAGTCAAAAAACCTGCGAGAGATACCGTTCGTTCTTCAATGACGATAGCAGTTTTTGGACGAGTTTTTCATTAGTGAATGCGCCCAGTAACGCGCTATCGGTAGAACGGCCGCTATGATATGGCACTTATATAATCGCATGGAGAGCACAGCAGCCGCTTCATACCAATCCCTTCGCTTCATAATTTGCTTAGCAAATGATGAATACGAGGGTCAGGACTGCTCGTAAATTTGTGGGCGGGCGGGCGCGGTTGGAGTCCGGGTCGGTATGTTCCAGCTTGATAGGGCGCTATAAAGGTACCTTCGTTGAAAAAGGCTACGCAGCGCCTGTCAGGGGCGGCGGAATTTGCGTCGGGCAAAAGTCATTAATCTTACTCTTTAGGGATATACGTGCCATCTGCTTTAAATAGCGCGAGTTCTCTTATGTAATGAAAGACGCTGAACTTGAGTGACGATGGTCGCTTCGGCTGATCGGGCGGGTTGAGATTCTGATCTCATTACGAGAGAGTTCTGGTCTCAATGGGAATAATTTGCGTCGGGCGCGCATACGATTACTGCTTCCTCACTTGTGCGCATGTCTCCTTTAGCGTCCTAGAAGAGGTAGACGCGTCAGCGAAGAAGGCGCATTGGTACTCCCATCTACATCAGCAAAGGCTCAGCGCCGCCCATACCACAAGCCTGGCTCGGCCCAGCCCTTCAGGCTACTGCAACTGTCGGTTTTGCCACATCGACCGTTTTGTATTACAGTAGTAAATATGGATAGTTGGACAAACAGAGGGCATTTCTGGGCGTAAATTACAAGATGGACGACAGTGTAAATAAAGGATGTGAGAAATTTCTAGGTCAACTCATTTCTGACCCTGGTGCTAACTCTCGGACTTACCGGGAAGAAGGCCGATCCAAAAGAATCCTTCTTCGATATAACCGTGAGAAATTCGATTTTTGCTTGGTCTGACGACATATGTTCAACCTTGACGTATGCAGAGGAAATTGCCTGAAAACAGATGTTTATCGATGGAGCTTATCAATGATTGTTGGCGCTGTTCGATTGGGGGGTGTGCACTTTTCTAGTTCGCCAGCTTTTTTATTACTTTGTTACTTACACGTATCACCTCATAGGACCTGTAGGGTCTTATCAAGTGTAAAGGAAGCTCATGTTAATGCCTAGCTTTTCAGTGGTTTACAGGTCTCTTATAGGAGACACCGGCAATGACCGATGGGAATCAGCAAAATGCCTCCACCAAGCCAAACTGCGCCTGACTGTCCCTATTATTAGGTTACATAGTCTGGCATTCTACAGAAACGTGTTGTGGAGCGCAGCCAAAATAGCTCTCCTCGCCAATTCTTGTGGACCCAGGGTTACATAATTAGTGGAACAGGCCGGCCATGGCAGCACTCCAATCCACGTCCACTCACACCTCCTACGGTTTGCAGAACTGGACGGACATAGGTCAGGACAAATCACCTAGGTTCTTCATTGACCCCCAACCCGTTTGTTGAGCCCACAGACCCTCCAGGCAACTTCTATCGAAACACCACTTCTGTTCTTCACTAGTGATCTTTCAGAATCTGAGGACAGATAAGCAGCCACATTGGTACATATAGGAGATGGGCACCATCACCCAATCTGGCTGTTGTC